TCCATATATTTTGGCCCCTCTGTCAAAGATTGACAGCAGAACATGACTGGGTTGTTTCTGCATGCTCTGTACCACTGATTCTCGTGTCTGTTTCTTGGCCAGTACTGTGCTGTTTTTATAGCTTTGTAATATAACTTGAAGTCAGGGATTGTGATTCCTCCTGCTTTGTTCTTGTCTTCCAGGATTGCTTTTACTATTCTGGGTCTCTTTTGGTTCCATATGAATTTTAGGTTTTTTTCTCAAGTTCTGAGGAGTGCTACTGGTATTTTGATTGGGATTGTGTTAAATCTGTGTATCAGTTTTGGAAATATGGCCATTTTTGACAATCATTCTGCCTACACAAGGACAGAATATCTATTTTCTGATGTCTTTGATCTAATTTTTCAGAATACTGTAGTTTTCTTGTAGACATCTTTCACTTCCCTGTTTAGGTTAATTCCTAAGCATTTGATTTTGGGGGGTGTTATTTTGAATAGTATTAATTTCCTAATTTCTTTCTCAGTGAGTTCATTATTGGTGTACAGGAACAAGAAATCAACTTTAAAGCAAGATAATACCTGTGACTTTCCTAAACTACCAAATGACACCACTCCTAGAGTTCAAAAGTACTGATGCTTTTATCTGCCTCATACAGAATGGGACTCTGAAGATCATTGACCGGAAAAAGAACATTTTCAAACTGGCACAAGGAGAATATATTGCTCCAGAGAAGATCGAAAATATCTACACCAGGAGTGGTCCAGTGTCACAAATTTTTATTCATGGGGACAGCTTACGGGTATTATACTGTTTAACCATAGACATTTTCAGGTGAAGGCCATGCTAGTTCCTATAGCGACTGGGAATTTGGACAGGTGGGTTCAGGATGAGAAGATCCAGCTTCCAGGACTAAAGAAATAAAGGATATTCTGAATCTCAAATAAGGCGATATTAACAAAAAACATTTTTGAAGCTCTGATGGACTTTGTAAACAATTCAATAGAATTGTTAAAACAGCTCTACTAAAAGGTAGCTTTTATTCCGATCGCAGCCCACCTCACACTAAGTTTTGACTCCAGGAATTCCGCTGGCACAACAAGCTGTTGAACACATAGTATACGTAAACTTGGCTTTTTTTTTTTAAATTTTGGTGGGAGTCGCGGGTGAGAATGTTGAGATGGATGGGACAAAGGTTCTTGACACTTATGGCTACCACCTCTGAAGATTCCGAGTGGGTAGAGACCGTCTTTGTGATGATGTTGAGTGGGAGTGGGATTGGAGCTTCATGGGGCTTTGGATCGCAGTGAGAAAGGACACAAGTATTTGAAGCTTGGGGGTGATAGAGGAATATAACTCACTCATGCCCTTGCACCTCTTGTGTCCTCTCTACAGTCGTCCTTAGTAGGAGTGGTGGTTCCTGACCCAGATGTGCTTCCCTCATTTGCAGCCAAGTTTGGGGTTAAGGGGTCTCTTGAAGAACTGTGCCAGTCCAAAGTAAGTCTGGTTTAGAAAACCGAATGCACACCCATTGGCCCATCAGGAAGAGCGGAATCTTCCTGTTTCTGTGACAAGTTAACTACAGCCCAACTAAGCTGAATAGTTTCATTAGCCTGTAAAATAGGGAGTTTAAGAACAAAACAAAACTCTTTCTTATGGTAATACGTTCTTTGTAGGAAACAAAAGAGAATTGGAAAATAAGAATAAAAATGTCATTCAAAGTAAATCCCTATTAACATTTAATTTTCTTCTTGAGTGATATTAGGCACATAATGTGATTGTACATACCTTTATATCCTGCTTTTATCTCAGTCATCTTTTGTAGGCATTTTTTGTTGGCCCTTGCTTAGCCTTTCATTTAGCATCTTTTGCAAATGGCCATATTTTAAAGGATGCTTTGTATTTTAGATTGTAAAAGAAGCCATTTTAGAAGACTTGCAGAAAATCGGGAAAGAAAATGGCCTTAAATCCTTTGAACAGGTATGTATTGTTGATGTTATCCAGGTTACTTGTCATACTAGAAAGTTTTATTTAACGTTTCCATTCCTAAAGAAGTTTAAATAGATAATTTTCAAAGAATTTGATTTTAGATTTTGAATCCTTAACCACAAGTGGTAGTAACCATTTGTAGTTGGACATATAGTCCCTGTTTGCTGTTCATTATCCATTCTCCCTATTCATTTCTTCCCAAATTGTAAGTGTGAGAACGGGCATGGTTACTGTCTTTACCCTCCACTGTGTCAAGCTCACTTCTATAAGGTGAAATAGTCTTTGAAATTCTTCACAGCAAAAGACCGTGCAGAAAAGTTCAGATCACTAATAAGCATGTATGCCTGTGTTCATGTCACCTACTAGGTCAAAAACATTTTTGTTCATCCGGAACCATTTTCCATTGAAAATGGACTCTTGACACCAACATTGAAAGCAAAACGAGGAGATATCGCCAAACACTTTCGGACCAAAATTGACAGCTTGTATCAGAGTATCCTGGAGTAGGCTGAGGTACTTACGGCTGATGGGGATGGATCATGACAGCCTGCTTGGTGCTCTGGGCTGCCTTGTGAGAATCTGGATTAAAACCTGTTCTTCCATTCATTTTACCATTCCCCCTGTTGTTTTGCCTACAGAACTATCAAACTCTGGCTTTTGCTTTTCAATACTGACTTATTATAATGCCAAAGCACAGCCTTGAAATAAACAAATCCTGTTCTTCCTAACTTAAATGTTGCTGATGAAAAGACTTCAGAGGGCTACTTTTACCCATGTGGCTTTTTTCAAGGTCCCAGTTTTGTTCTGTATCCTTTCCTTACCAACTCAGAGCCATTATTTTTTGTGATCCCTAGTTCTAGGGTCTAAAACAGTGATGGCAAACCCGCTGGTCTAAAAGATCCATTATGTTTCGTCCTTATTTTATAGTAAAACCTACCTTGCCTAAACCTCTTCAGGTTAACATTAAGAGATCTTTAAGTTCTGAAAAGCTGTTTTCAGGTTATTTCATAAATCCACTAAAATGTGAGTTTTAACCTATCAGATCTGTGAGGCAAATGTCTTCTATGTACTCTGTATACACTATAATCTAGATCGGGGAAAACTGATTATACCAAGCAAATTCTAAATCCCCTAGATTTCTGTCTTGGGAGTATTAGAAGTTGGGCCTGGGACATGTCCAAAAAGGAACGCTGTTTGTTACCTGGAGTGGTAGATGGTGACCGAGTCTGCTCTTTACAGTTGGCTGCTGAGCTGGAAGCTGCGGGAGAGTCAAAACATATCCCGTAACTTTTCCAGTAGATGAAGCAAGCACTGAAGAAAACCTTGCTGCACTGGGAACAAATATCTATGGGCAAACATACTGTCCATACCTTACCTTATCTTCTGTGAAGGAACCAACTGATTTTTTTTTTAATCCACACTCCGGCTGCTGCTGTACCTTACCGCCAGATAATAAATACATGGTGCCTCTACTTGTAAAGGTGCAAGCTTTAAAATAAACTATTGCAGATACTTTGTGGTGTTTGTTGCCTCACGGACCATGAGAATGTCTTAAATAAGGATCACCTTCAACATCAAGGTACCTAGTGAGTCTCACATGTGCCTGCACACTAGAATTACCGGGAAGTTTAAAAAGACACTAATGCCCAGGTGCTGTGCCAAGGGACTCTGAGCTAACTGGCCCGAGGTACTACGCAGGTAGGCGAATTGCTAAAAAGATGAGTATAGTATGCAACTGAGTTTGATAATTATTGAAGCAAAGGAAATTGAGAGGATCAGTCCTGCTTATCCCAGCCGTAACAAACATCAGCCAAGCCAAACGCTCAGCACCAATTTCTTTCCTCCTTTACCACCTTATTGTATTCTGACTTTGACTAGTCTCTTTCAGGCTTCTAACTGGAGTTAAGAAGAATGTTCTAGGTTGGTCTTTCAGGACCTTGAGCCTAGAAAAGATGAAATGTCTCTGCATGAGTTGGAAACAAAAAGGCAGGAATGTGTAGGGTTCTCTGTGATTGGCTTCCTCTCACCCTTTGACTTCCCCTCTGTTTCCTCCCCCAACTCACTCCAGCCAACCCTCACTGCTGCCGCCTCGTCCCTCAGTCATGCCAGGCATATCCCAGCTTCAGGTTCTGGCTGCCCCTACCTAAAATGTAGATACCCTGAAAGGCACATGACTTGTTCCCTCAGGTGCTTGAAATGCCAACCCATGCACATCCCACCTTCTTCACCATGCATGAGTCCATATGACACACACTATCCGTCCACCTCTTGTCCCCACTGCAAAGAGGCAGAGGCTTGTTTCCTTTTTCATTCACTGCAGAATCTCCAAGTGCCCTTTGCTTATTCTCAACTGTTATAAGACCAGCAGCCAATACATAAAGGTTCCTGTCTTGAAAGGAAGTAAGGAACATCCCCTTAGGCCGGGGATGTAGTTCAGTGGTGCCATGCCTGCCTTGAAAGTGCAAGGTCCTGAGTTGGATCCCGGTACTGGGGGTGGGGGTGGGGGTGGGATTAAGAAAAATGGACCAGTTTAGTGTAGTTAAGAGAAACAGGCATTCTTCCTTCTGTAATTCGACACGTGTGTGTGTATGGACACACACACACACACGCGCAGACAAGCCTGACTTTAAACAACTCTACCAGAATGGATCTCGGCATTTGAAAGTTTCAGTTCTTGATAAATTCAAGTGTATACCAGCACTTTGAGACCAGTAAGTTTAAAGCCTCCTAGAATGCTGTGACTACTATATGCCACTAATAGGGCTCACATATTGAGGTGACCTGTGCCATGTCTTAAAAGAGTCTTGATTCAGGGTGCCTATTTTCCACAAGGCAGCAAGGCAATTTTTTTTTTTGGTTCCGGGGATTGAACTCAGGACCTTGCACTTGTGAGGCAGGTGTTGGCACCACTGAGCTAAATCCCTGGCCCAAGGCAGTTTTATTTTTTTAATAAGGACCTAAAATAAAAAGTCAACATGCATTAAGTAAAAACTATGATTTATACAGAACATCTATTGATCTTTATTTGATTTGATAAAATCTGCATTATTAAAAGACAAGTAACAAAATTTGAGCTTATACTGAATCTGACAAGTTCTTACAGTATCTAGAACATTTAAGAATATCAACTGAGAAGGAAACAAAAAGTATCACATGCAGATGCTCCTGGCAAAGGGGGAACTATATCTGCAGGTGAAGTCCATAGTATGCAGTGCATGAAGAAAAATTTAGAAGAAACACAATTAGCTACTTAGGTGAAACATTTTTCATTGTGAGGGGAAGAAGAGGTGATAAAAAGGGGTAGGAATTCAAAGGCTTACACAGAATGGCTTTTCCATTCCAAAATGGTAATAAAAATATTTAAATCATGGCACTAGGGCACCTTTGAGGAAAAGAACATGTTAACCAGAGTAGGCTTGTTGCATAATTCTTTAGTGATATGGACAATTTTCAAGTAATGAAGCAGAATTAAAGAATAATTTCACTTGAACAGTGGCTATCTGTTTTTCTTCTCGCCTTCTGGGGTTGGATCTGTTTCAGTATCACAGGGACATTTTTCCACACAGTTTCTAGGGAACCATCCTCTTATTCTTGACACACCTGAGAGAGAAATTAAATTGAGATGGAATAGTTTGATGTACTACAGTGGCATTACTAGGCCCAAGAAACTTTAAAGTGACTTTAAACTGACAAGCCCCCTCCATATCCTATCCACATAGGTGCAGCTTGAGAATGGAAAAGGGAATGGTTTCAAAAGACAGAACAAGAAAACAGTTCCCAAATTCCATGATCTGGGAACGGGATTCATGTGTTTCAGGACAGCACCCAAGTGGAATATTCACTTATGTGTGTACGATCATAAAAGGCGTTTTGGTGCACTGCACACTACATCTCTTTCAGTCTCCTTCTTAGACGTTTTCTAAAATATACACCAAGATTGCCTAAGCTGTCAATGGGTTAATTTATGATTAACCCCAGCCCAGTATTTTTTAAAGAGCATCCTGGATTTTTACTTTAAAAAGCAATAATTCTAAAAATTAAAAAGAAAAAGACCAAAGTTTTCAATCCATTAGTTTCTTAATCATAAGAGCACCGTTCACTCAGAGGGGAAGTGTACAGTTTTGGGGTTTGGGGCACAGAATCTAGTCAGACTGCTTGGGTCTGAGCCCTGGAGCTACTGTTTTTAGTATGTGACTGTGGACAAGGTGCTTCACCGCTCTGTGCTTCAGTTCCCTCAACAGTGAAACGTAAATGGTAATACCTACCTAAGAGGTCTGTTGGAGACTTTAACACTGTAAGTTACGCACTTTCATAAGTGCCTGTCACATGGTTAAGTAGGAACTCAAAGGCTAGCTATGGCTGTAAAGACCTGAGAAGTACATGTACTATGGAGAAAGGTATGAGCTGCTTTTTGCTGCTTAAGCGGGTGTCTTCCTATGCAGGTCTCTGAATGCATTTGATTATTTGTGATTATTTACAGGTTATTCAGGTAAAATTTGGAATTATTGCTAGTAGTCTTGTACATTAAACACACCCTTCCATTTCCATACCTTCTACAAAGGAATCGTCAAGAATTTTGTCTCCGTATAACCAGTATCTGAAATATTTAAAAGATTACATTTAATTTTTAGGCTAGACACTAGTTTTGTCATTAAAGAAGAAATGCAGTATTTTCTATCACTTACCGTAACCCTCTTGTGGCTAAAATGAACTCCCCCTTTTGTATTCGTATTCGTGGTTCTTCAGTGCAGGGGCTCGTGAAGAAGGTTTTGATTCCTCTATTCAGAGGACAGCAGGCACCATTGTAATCTTCTATTACTTTATAGCGAACCTGTCATCAGCAAGCAGAAGAAAAAATTGATTATTTATCCAGTATCTGAGTTCTCAAGTTTGAATTTAAACTTTTAATGGTAAATCCAAATACTCAGTGCCAAGCCTTCCCTCCCAGCTTTCTATCCAACCTATTTTCCTGCAAGAGACAAGTGACCTTTCTTTGCTTTTTTCCCCCTCTAGGGTTCTTTTAAAAATAAAAGTTTAATTTTTTATCAGTATATGTTTGCAGTAATGTCTACATTCCTTGTGCAGAGCTGGCACATGTACATAACACATCTTAATTCCTTTTTCTTTAATCCCCTTTCCCTCTCCTCCCCACCTCCATCTCTTGATCTCCATCTCATTTGAGAAAGATCTCCCTATTTCCTGTTATTTGTTTCATTTTACTGTTTATTCACAATTTGGGTTTCTGGTTGAAGAGAAACCATGTGATATTTACTTGTGTGCCTGATTTCTAATTCACAGGTTTTTCTTACCCCTCATTTCAAGCACAGAGTTGCTAAGAATTAAATGTCAGAGCAGTTCTGTCCAAGAGAACTGTCTGTAATGAAGAAAATGTTCTATGGCTCTACATGTGTGGTATTCAGTGGGTTGCCACTGGACACAAGTAGCTGCTAAGCATTTACAATGTGGCCAGTTCAAATAAGGAACTTAGTTTCTAATTGTAACAAATTGTGTGTGTGTGTGTGTGTGTGTGGTTTGAAAGAAATGGAGGTATTTTAATCTATCTCTTAGTAACAGCCATGTAAATTTCATTTAGTTTAAGTCACATGAAAAATGGCGTTTATATTCTCAAATTTACCTATTTAGAATATCTGGCCATTATTTTATCAATATAAACTGAAGTAAAACAAAATGAAATAAAGCAAACTCTAACACAGCTTATATTTTTATAACAATGTAACATTCCACTAAGTCTTTTAAATAAAAAATTTAATTGAACTTAACTTTAATCAATAAGCTTAACTTAGCACCATGGCTGGTGGCATCATCTGCAATAGCAGGGCCATATGGAAAGTTTTTATCTAACGATCTATATCGAGGATAACTATTTTTCTATGTTGGCAATATAAATTGACTAAAATCCCTTCAGTACAAACAAAATATTTACATGAAAACTAAAGTAAACTACATTGAATTTCAACAAATTAAGGAATAGTTTTTAGTAAAAGCCAACCCTTGGTTCCTACTCAAAGGCAATTAAAAAAATTAAACAGAAGTACACAGCCTGATAAAAAAGAAATCAGCAATATCACTGTAAAAGAGTTACTTACACTTCGGACTCTTTTATCTGCTTTTTGTTTCAACTGTTCTATCTGGAAGATATAAAAGAAAAAAACTAAGCCCTTAATATTGAAAAACAGCCTACCCTCTTCTGCTATGAGAGTGACATGACAAATGCCTGATGGTCCAGAATTTCACATTGTTGATGATTTAAAAGCATGGGTCTTTGTGAAAATGGGATTTTCTCCTCAGAATTCACCCTCTGCTATCTCCATCCATGTGTATTCTTAGAGCACTCAGTTTGGCCTAAAAACCAGGGAGGTGTGTTCTCTGCCTTCATGAAACATCCAGGCTAGCAGTACCCAAGGCAGAGAGGCTGAGATGCACGGATTCTCTAACACAGCAGACAAACCATGAAACTTACTACCAGTGGGTCTTGAATAAGTCAACTTTTAACTCACTTTCCCCCCTTAGTCAGCAACTATGAAACAGTACTACATGGTCTCTACTTACAATCTTTTGAAGTCAAGTTAAAGACATAAGGAATAAGAAGTGGAGAAAAATGTGATACCTCATAAGCCACAAGAAGGTGGTATACACCTGAGCCCTGTGCACATGAGTCTGGAGGGGGTAGCCTGGGGTCTATGGAAGAAGTGGGACTGGAAGTGGCCTTAAGGATAGACAGAGAAATAGTATGGGCAAAGCTGGGTGGCAGGAATGTACAGGAAGTTCATATGACTGACTCTAGTTTAGAAGGTAATTTTAGGCCAGATTCTGTAAAACTAAGTCAAAGAGTCAGAGAAGTCTGGGGATTTCAGGAGAGAGTTAAATACAAAATGCATGTGATTAAGAAGTCCTTTATGAATATTAATTTGGATTCACTTTGAAATAATGAGAACGTTTATATTGCTTATGTTACTATAAAATAACACTGAGTTAAGGAAAGGTTAAGGAGTACAAGGCAAGGCAAAAAGGGACCATTCAAATAAAAATACTCACTGTTAAACTGTACTGGTGACAGCCTTCTCTAACTGGCCACTCCAATCCATCTCCTTCAGGAACCCCTGACCATGTAAATACCTGTTTGAAGTTCTTCCATCTACTTCCCATATCATAAGGGAAAACAAAGACTTCATCAAGTTGGTAATATTGAATTCGATCTTTAGCCTGTAGGTAACAAAGAAGATGGCAGATGCCCTTGATTTAAGGTGACTTTCAGTAATACGCTACTGAGAACACATTTCTTGAACTTGTATCATTCATAAAAGTACTTTTTTCTTGGTGTAATCTTAGAGTATGCAGAAAAAGCACAGCTTTATCACAATATGGGAAGAATTTGATACAACACAAACTTGGTATGTGATCATCCAGAAAATACCTGACAGGATTTTAAGAATAAGCACTCAGGGGTTGGGGATTTAGCTCAGTGGTGCCAGTACCTGTCTAATAAGCACAAGATCCTGAGTTTGTTTCCCTTATAGCAAAACAAAGCAAAAACAAAAAACATGTTCCTGATTGTTTGGCAAAACAAAGGGATTCAGGTAAAAATAATGATACACTGATTCAGGATAAAGTAAGATTTTATTTAGGATGGAACTGTTTTATTTACAATAGAACTGTTTCATAGGATGCATGAAAATGCAATAGTTTCATCCTGGGTTGCAGTGACATCTGTAGGAATGGCCTGAATGGGTGTAGAAGGGGTCAATGTTTTATAAAAAACACCTATGAAAGGCCAGCAGGTAGGTGCAGGACATCTTTCAGTTTTTTTATACCATCATATATACATAAATTCTCAGTTACATTTGCATTACATGTACTTGTTAGGCTCATACACAAACATTTAGGTAGCATAAATTATACGCTAGGAATTTAAATGGTTAGCTTTAATTTAAGGAAACAGACTGGTTTCAAATTTCTTAAGTTCTCCTGACACCTAGTGGTAGACTGATGCATTATTTATTCCAACGACCAGCACATAAAACTGTTGAAACTTGTAAAACTTTAGTGTCTGGTAATTTCTATAAACCTTCCACAGCTTTAATACGATAAGTGAATATTTTACTCAGCAATGAAGTGCTAATGTCAGCATAACTTTTAGATTTAGCATGATACCTTTTAGAGAGCCTTGGTCATTACCAAAACAGTTATTCTATTTATTATGCTTAGCACAAATGGTACTTTGAAATACTTGATAATCAAGCTATAGTACTTTATGAAAAAGGTTCTTGTGGTTATTTATGACTACAGATGTTATTCTTTATTAAAACAACTGCCAAACTGTAAAATAAATGAATCTATTCAATTGTTTAATTTTGTCCTCAGACAGTAAAAGGTATTTTCTTTTCTTTACATGAAAGCTTTGGCATGAATTTTAAAATGGAATGAATTTTTAAAAATACAGATCTAGGCTATTTATAGAGAAAAACTGGTAAGGATGAAAGTTCTTTACTGTGTTAAAAAGTGACAGAGTTGCCAGGGGGATTTAGCTCAGCGGTTCACTGGCATGCCTTGCAAGCGCAAGGACCCGAGTTCAATTCCTGGTATTAAAAAAAAAAAAAAAAAAAAAAAAGGACAGAGCTAGGTACCGCTATGGGAAAAGGCAACAAAAAGTACCTAGCCAAGTCTAGAGAAAGGCAAGGGAAGGTTCTTTGTAAGAAATGATACCTAAACTAATCCTGAGTTGCAAGAAATCAAACAACATGAGAGGGAAGAGTATTCTAGACAAAGGGGACAACGTACGCAAAGATAGAGAAGAAAAAGACGTAAAAAGCACAAGAGTGAGATGGGGTGAAGAACAAGAAAAGAGGGCAGGGAGGCAGGTAAGGAGTGAAGCAAGGTCTTAGGTACAGACTAAGGGGCTGGGACCTAAATCTGTGTATCTGAGGTTCTCAAAAATGCTCTGTAGGCTCTCGTGGTCCCCAAGACCTTTTCTTGAGGTTCGGTAAGTTCAAACTATTTTTATAATTATACTAAGAGGTAATTCACCTTTTCATTATGTTGACATTTGCAAAAGTGAGTAAATGGTTGACACGTTAGATGTAATTATGACAATGGCACTAAATTACTTTGATAGTCATTATATTCATCGCCGATCGCTTGCATTCCACATCCACAGGTAAGATATACACAGACACAAATAGAAAATACTAACAAAAGTGCACAGAACATGTACAGAATTTTTTTTCTCATCATTATTCCCTAAACAGTATTCATAACAACTATTTATACAGCATTTCATTGTACTGGGTTTTATAAGTAACCTAGAGATGATTTAAAGTATTCAGGAAGAAGTGCTTAGATTATATGCAAATACTTTGCCATTTTATGTAAAGCACCTGAGAATCCACAGGTTTTAATATCACAGGAGATCTGAAACCAATCCCTGCAGGTATTAAGCTTTAAAGCACAGCTTTAAAAAGCCAATACTTTTATATAAGAATGTTGTTGATAAGGCAGTAAAAATGATTACGGTCATTAAACCTCTGTTCTTCATTTGGCTTTTTTTTTCTTTTCTTTTTTTTTTTTGCGGTACTGGGGATCAAACTCAGGACCTTGCACTTGTGAGGCAGGTGTAGTGCCACTGGTTTTCTGAGACAGGGTCTCCCTTTGTAGTTCAGGCTGGGCTTGAATTCACTATGTGTGGCCTTGAACTTAACGTTATGTATGACAAAATGTGAAATAGACAAAAAGCATGCCAAAGTTGAATGGTTTTCTCAAGAAAAATACTTGTTGACTTGTGAGCTAACAATAATAGCTATGTACCTAATTTTATTTAATGTAATACTATTTTTACTGGAAAGAATGAATGATTAACAAACTAAGGCTACTTCGCTTTCAATATTTTGTGGGCAATTTCTCCAAAATGAACAAGATCAGGCCGTCACTTCAAAGGAAGTAACTTTGGTGGTACTAGAGACTGAGCCCAGGAAGTGCTAAGTTACAACCCTAGACCTTTTTATTTTTTAAATTTTGAGACAGGGTCTCAGTAAGTTGCCCAGTTTGGTCATGAACCTAGGAACCTCCTGTTAAACAGCTGAGAAGTATGCACCACCAAGTGGAATTTGAATGTATTTTTCAAAAGCTGACAACATTTGGAAAATCTTCATAATGGAATAAATCATTATCTTCCAAATAATCAATGCCTGATAATATTTTTAAATTTGCATACTGGTAAAAGGCCCACTCACAGAGCATGAGAGTAATGAATTTTAAGATAAAAGAGTACAAAAACTTAGTGATAAGAAATGTCCCTTGTAGGGTTTCTAATGTAGGATCAAAGAATACCCATTATCATCTAAAGGACTATTAAACTGCTCTACCCTTTTGTACCTACTTATCTTTATGATGCTGAATTTTCTTCATAAACTTTCACCAAGGCAACATATCTCAACACACAGAATGGAGTAGTGTGAGAATCCAACTGCCTTAAGTGAGATATTAAAGAGAATTGTAAAACAAGGTCACTATATTTTTTTATTTGGAAAATACAATTTTTCATACAAATGTTACTTTTATTAACCTAAAATGGGTTATTATATTTAAATGAAATATTTTTTTAAAATTTAAAATATGGCAAATATCAATAGATATATAAAAACCAAAGCTCTTATTGTCCTTAATGAATTTTGAAAATGTAAGATGATCCTGACACCAAAAAGTTTGAAAACAGCTGCTATAAAATTAATGATCACCAACTGGTTGCCAGGGTCTAAATATGTGCTACTGATCTACCTTATGGTTCACTTGGCTCATAAAGCTATTTTGTTTCAATTTGAACTGCTTCCTAACATTTAAAAGCTGAAAGAATGTCTCATGAAATAAAGATCTCTAACTCTTCTTGGAAAAAAACCTAGAAGATTTTACAATACTGAGGCATATTCTTTTAGGCAACAATCAGGTTTATAAGGCAGCTCTTTGATACACAGGCTAGATCCTCCTCACGTAGGTTATGTGTCTGGCCCATGGGGGCATATGAGTTTTCAACCTCTGTTATTATAGAGGTGGTGAGACTGCAGTTTTAAGCAGGAAGCAGGGTAGTAATGGACAGGGTGAAGTGTGGATTGAAGGTTGTAAGTTCTGTGCCAAAGCTTTTTCTACCGTCTGAAACACTGTAGGCACCTTTGCAATGGGCTGTTTTCTCCCCTAGTCTGAGAAATAATGGCCAGACGATTTAGTGTGTGACTTAACACCTTTTCAGCAACTCAAGATGTATGAGTAACATATTTCTGTGGGGATTATACCAAAGGGGAAATAAATAAACTATATTCACCTTCTATATGATATGCTAAGAAAATTATTTGGCATACATGCTTCCACTTCCAGGCACTTAACTGGTCTATTAAAATAATCACTGAGGGCTGGAGATTTAGCTCAGTGGTTCCGCCGCCTGTCCTGCAAGTGCAAGGACCCAAGTTCAATCCCCAGTAGCAATAAATAAATAAATAAATAAAATAATCATTGAAATTTACCTTCTCTTCAATCCAAGATTCAATAGAAGTTTTATTTCTGAGAATTATTTTCATCTGGAAATTAAATAACAGTGAAATTTAGTAATATGACTTTAGTCTATTTAAGATTATTGACCTCATAATTCTGTGAGATAGCTTTCATTGCTCTATGGTATAGACAGACACTGAGGACAATAGAGATTAAGTCACTCAGTCTGTATTCTGACTCTACTGCACAGTAATTTCCCATAAAAAGATCGTAACAACCCATAATCAAATCTGAATCTCTTATTTTAATTAAAATTCATGTTTTAAATACTATCTTCAGACCAACATTTCAAAGTATTAATAAAACATGGATACAATCAATTCAATTAGTACCTAAATGCATTTTGTTATTAAAAATCTATTATCAGTACTTTTAATTAACTTTACATTTATGATTAATCTATTTATAACAATGAACAGTACTCGTTTCATTCAACGTAGATACTCTGCTTGCCTAAATGCATTCAGTCTTTATTCTATTGCCCATTTCTTAGATGTGAATGAGTCTACTCATATAGGTTTTTATATTTCAAGATTTTAGCTTACTGTTAATACGATTTTTAATTATAGGAATTAAGACTTTTTAAAAAAATTTGGTGCTAGGTTAACAGAAAATATAAATTATAACCCAAATCAGCTTATTTTAAAACAAAGCATTCAAAAAGGGTGATATATCAAGGCTCTCAGGTCCACCAATTCTAATTCTACACACTTTCTGGATTTCCTTGAAGTCTGGCTGTGCCTTCAGACTGTGGCATACCAAATCCCTGGACGAGGGGTCCTCATCACATTTCAAGGTCCTTCAGTAGCCTACACTAGGCATTCAATAAATGAATGAAATGAATAAAATGAATTTTATAAGAGCTGCTTTTTGAGGTCCTCCTCTGTGTTCTCAAGCATTTTGTACATACATCTAAAATGTACATATAACCCTAAATTAGTTAGCCATTTAGTATTAATTATGAGTTCCTTCAAGGGTCTCTAAGGAACCTCTTCATTTTGTTACTCTAGCCTCAGAAATTAGTAAAGCAATTCTCTCACAGAGTAAGCATTAAACATTTGCATTGATATGCAAAGTGCCTAAAACAGTGCCTTACATAAGTGCTCCACAAATGTTAGTTGTAATTATGATTACTTTTAAGTATATGTTATAAAATGACATCAATAATTATGTTTACTGAGTACAGTGAATGCGTGGCCTTGCTAAGTCACCGAAATATTTTGAGAATCAATTACTCATCTGTGAGGAAGAGACGAGGGTAATGTTCTATCAACTTCCTTTTTTTTTTTTTCTACCGGGGATTGAACTTGGGTCCTTGCGCTTGCAAGGCAGGCCACCGAACCACTGAGCTAAATCCCCGGCCCTCTATCAACTTCTTTTAAGGTTGATGTGAAGATCAAGTGAAACTCTACAGTGAGAAGAGTTTTCTGTACTATAAAGATCTACATAACTCTAGATTCACACTTCACAAATTAAACCAATTACCTAAAATTCTGGCATATGACTGCTTTTAGCCAAAGGTAACGGAAAGACTTACTTGGATAAAAAACAACATCCCAACGGCTATAGTCGTTCCTAAAGCTAATCCCAAGGCAAACAATGTGGCAGCAAATGCAGCTAATCCAAAGGGAACAATCGGAAGGGGATCTCTCCGGGCTGCGCTCATATCAATCTTCACTGTGTTCCACCCAAAAGAGAGCTGTGGACAACACACACTTACAAGGCTTGTCACAGTACCTGTTCGCTCTGGTGTCATTTCTAAAACAATGTGATCAAAAAGGTGACAATTCTACACTTGAGCCAAAGTAAATACATCAAACATAGCTGTTTCCAATGAATATACTGGCTAGGACTTTGTGCTGATGTGTATGATACCATTCTTTGTGTTTATTTATCTCCCCCACCCCCATCCTAGGGATCAAACCCAGGATCTTATGCTGCTAAGCAAATGCTCTACCTCTGAGTTACATCACCAGCTCCATTCTCAGTTGTCCTTCCACAATATCTGTTGTTTTCTCAGAGTCAGGTCAGTCGGCTCTATAAACTCACTGATATGCATGGAAACATCAGACACCAATCTAAGCTGTAAACTGCCTCCCATCTTTTCCTGGCTCGTCTACATTTAGTTGTCTTCACCAGCAACAAATACTGTGTAGCCCGAGATTTGGCTATTTACTGCTTCTCATTCCATAATCAGTGGCTCAGAACTGGTAAGATGCAAACCAAAAAGGGCCTATACATGTATACTGTCTGGCCTGAATAATGTTTTAAAATTTTAAAACTTAGGTGACAGCATTAAAAAGTTACAAAATTTCAAATAAAAATTCAGAGTTTTAGATTTTTTTCTGAAAAACTGGAGGATCTAGCTAGCATTACTGGGCTAGGATTCCAAATACTATGAAATGGCTAAACAAAGTCAAGTGTGGACTGTCCCCTCTCCAGTTTGCCATGGAGTCCTGTGCTCATTTTTCTTCCAGGACTCTTCAAGGATTTTTATTTGTAACCTCTGAACTTCATCTCATGACTACTTGTCCATAAATCAACTCAAACCATTGATGGATAGATCTATTTAGATCGTAGGGTGGAAGATTGCTCCACGATTTACCTTCCAGGGCACTGTATTTAGAAACGAACAAAAGAACGACAATCTGCCACATGAGAGGATAGAAACAGAAAGCACTAGTATCTTTTTCTTCTTGCTCTTGTTTTGTTTTTGTCATTCTCCCACAAACCATTAAAGCTTGAAATCTAATAAATGATGTACATAGTGCTAAAACAATTCCCAACTTTAATAGCAGCATGTCTTTCCTCATCTCAAAGGAAATCTTAAAGGGAAATCTTTCATCTTAAAGATTAATTTAAACTTTTTCTTTTAAAGAACTCATATAAAGGTAAAGAAAAATGCTTCCCTATGTAAATCAGAGGAAGGACATTTCTAAAAGCAAACTCTAAAATGATCTTGGTAACTACTAATCTGGCATGAATGATGTTATAACAAAATTTTTACTCACCCGATTATAAAGCTGTGTGTACATGGTCATAACAAAAATGAAAGCAGCATGGACACAACCCAGCGGTGCTAAAAGGAGAAACAGTGTGAACGAAGCATGATTTTGGTAACCACAACAGTTGTTGATCCAAGGACAGTGATGGTCCATCTTCATCACACATCTAACAAGAAAAATTTACATGACACATGAAGCAGAAAGTCTGGTCTACTTTAAATAACTTGCTCTTTAAAAGGTCAAGCAAATAGGAATCCAGCAGGTCAATGAATCACAGGGGAAATGTACTTCATGGAACAGAAAGATAAATACAAGCCTTTATGCAAACAGTCTATGGACAGTGACTCCTTTTAAATTAGAAACAGCACATGACAGCAGGCTTCATAACTGCTTCTGAGAAAAAGATGTCTACTACTACAAGCGAGTCTGTTTAAAGAAGCTAGGAGCAGCTGGGCATGGAGGTGCAAACCTGTAATCCAAATACTCTGGAGACTCAGACAGGAGGAGCGTGAGTCCAAGGTCAGCCTGGGCTCCACAGTAGGTCCCAGGCCAACCTGATCTAGAGTGAGACCTTGTCTCAAAAGCCAACAAACCCCCAAAGGACTAAACAAAAGAAGCTAGGAGGCCCACAGGAGGTTCATTACATAAAGAAATGAGGGTGGCTACCAATTTTCCTCTAATTCAGAAATGCAGGAACCAAAGCAGAGTGCAATCGTGACTCAACAAAATTACTTGCAATTTTCTACTTGGGTTCAGAGGCCCTGAGAGACACTTCCATTTCCTTTCTCACTGTTCTAGAACAATTCAGATGGGGAATTTCTGACTTAAGCAAACTAACTCCAGCAGGTAAGATATGGCATAATAAGAAAAAAATTTTTCTGACTCTGTTCCTTACTTTTATTAGTGGAAAATTTCCTGGCTTAAAAATCAAACTTTAGTTGTCTCCAGTGGTTACTTAAATTTCTCATTCATCAGCAGACATAGCTCTTCATTATAACAGCTCCTGGCTTATTTTATGTTTGTTTGTTTGTTTTAAGTAATTCAGTTTTCTTTCTATTAAGGTTAAGTTTCTGATAATAAAACAGTTGTGACATTAGGCACCTGGGTCATTTATTAGACAATAAGTAACAACAACAACAACAAAAAACTGGTCTCCTCTATAGTTTAAACCCAAAACGATTCTAAAGCTCGTAAGATGACATTCAACACAATCCTGAAAGAGAAAATGGAAAGAAACTAAAGGTAGCACTTTTTACCCTGTTCTTGTAAGGCAAGAGGCAAAGAACATTTACTTTTTTTAGAAAATCTTTTTACTTATAGCAAAAGTGTGAAATTTAGTATCTAGATTGATAATTTAAGAGTTATTAGAGATTACGTAACAGTATTTTGACAAAATTTTTGATAAAGTGGCCCCTTTCAGAGAATAAAACTAGCTTCTACTGCTGTGGTACAAAGTACAATGACAAAAACAACAAAAAGGCCAGCAATCAAGATGATCAACCCCCAGTGAAAGACAAAGACAAATAAATACCTGTTACATTTTCTGCAGTGATGGGAACGTGGTGCCTTGTATGCTTGGCAGACTTTACAATACTGGAGATACATGCTATCCTGAGAATTTTCCTTTCATCAAAATACAAACAAAAATACATTAGAACCTTGACTGCAAGGTATAACAAGTCAAGCTTTATGGCAAATTGCTTTCCTTTAATGAATTTCTTTCATGGGAGATGTGGGAGAAGAACAGAAACTAAACCTGCATTTTCAGGCCTTTTATTTGAGCTAAAATATTTGCAAACCACACATTTGTGGTAAGAGCAGCTTCACTTTCCCACTAAGAGGTCATTTTAAATTTTCTTCCCCATGCTTACCCCAATCCAATGTCATTATCCCAGTCTTAGTAGAATAGGAGCAATTTAGAAGGTAGCTGACAACTTACAGTGGGGAGTGGAGCAGGAGCTGATAGTCTTTCTGAGATCTGTCCTCTCCTTGGTATTATGTGTCCTCCCCTCTTTGGCCATTTTAATACTTTCCTAGCTAGTTTCTTTTATCCAAACCATGCATTGTTAACACAATTCTGTCAGTGTTCTGTTTGAAATTTTCCAGAAACTCCCTCTAATGATTTCTCATGCATGAGACTTCCATGAGCTGTCTGTTTCATCCTTATCTGCACTACACAATCCCTTTTCCAGTCAGACAAAGCTGTCCACTGTTTCAGAATGCATTTCCACTGCTGTCTCAGGCTCTCTTCCTCCTCATCTGTGCAAATTCCCATTCCTTCCAGAGGGTCCCAGCCCAGAGTGCATTCTTTTAACCTCACAGGCCTTCTTCTAACCTCAACAGAGCTCTTCACATTCCACTGTATTTTATAGTTGAGTAATTTACATAGGTGCATTGGTTTCTCTTCTGGGTTGTAAGGTTTTTCAGAATGTAATTCTCATCCTTCTCTGTACACATTTCAAATAGGATGCCATGCATAAATACAGTTTGTCAGACTTGAACATACCTAAGAATCATCTAAATCATTGTTGTTAACGATTCTGTACTCCTAACCCCTACAAAGTGACATTCTTCAGCAAGGAATATGGACATTCATAAGTATAATCTTTCTAACAATTTTTTTCTCTTTCGGTACCGGGGATTGAACTCGGGTCCTTCTAGCAATTTTTAAGAAGCCATAAATCGATTCATACCTTATTTCCCAAGGCTATAATTTTTACAATTTAAAAACCTTATGATTTAAGCCAATAGTGAATTTTTTCATAATTCTGAGGGAATTTAATGTATTCTGTGAAAAAAAACCTATAGCCAATCTTCACTGTGACTCTGCCAGTGAGTTATCTAATAACTGCTGTCTCCTAATCATCACGAACTCCTCCCCTCCAACTGATTTTTTCTTTTTTTTATCACAGGATAAGAATTCAGTGAAATTGCTTTGGGTAAAGCTAATTTAGATCAATATTTTCAAACAGATATGAAATAAATTCTCTGAGCATAGTCATCAGAGCAATGCAGTTAGTCTATACCCACGACAAAAAAAAAAAATAGGCTGTATTCGATACTACTGGCTGGCAGATATAGCAAAAAGTAAATAGTGCATACAATTATTAGAGTTCATTGTTAAAAGGATATCATTTTCTTACCGGTTTCCACCCCAGAGGGACAAAGCCAGGACCAACGAACATGGCATTGAAGTAATTATAAAGAATCATAACGGTCCAGTTTATCAACATGATGAAGTTCACGCTTCCTCCAGTCGTATGTAAGGGCCAGTACCACAGCACAGAGTCAATCATGGCCATCGTAGAACATATTGCTATAACACCAAGGGCTATGATGGGACCCCAGTGACACAGTCGCTTTAATTCTTGGAGATTTTCAAACTTGATAACTGAGCACAATGTATTCATTTTGGTGAAGAAGGCCTTCCTACTTCTAAAGAATTACAGATTTCTCTTTTCTGTGTACACATTTCCAAAACAACACCATTCAGTCTCCCGTGGCCAAAGATAAAGTAGGAAAGTAGTGTAAACAAGGAGATTTCGAGGACAGAGTTGTGTGTGCGAGTGTGAAATCATGACTGAGATAGTGTGTGAGTGAACGTCAATGAGATTTGGAAAAAAAAAAGCCTCCGAGAGCGAGGGAGGGGAAGGGCAGGTCATTTGCAGAAGGGTATTTCTGACTGATCTGAAGTGAGCTGCGGGAAGAGGCGCTGAGATACACAGGTAATAAGAGATTCCCACGCAACTGATGCCGCTGCCTTGTGCCTCAGTTTCCCACCCGTGTCATGGAGCAGAGCGCTCAGAAACCTTCACTCAAGGGTGAAAAGTCCTAGTAAGTGAGCCTGGTTTCAACATTTTGGAGATTCGATTTTGGGACGAAGACCGCCAAAATCGTGGTTGCATTTCCTGCCTGACCCCCACCTCAGTCTGGTTCTTAGTGTCCGCTCCTCAGCCATCGCATTTTGGGGACGGCCTGGGCTCACCCGGAACAGATTTTCTCCTTCAGTTCAGAGCAAGCAGAAAGTAAGTCCTGGTCGTTACAGGCAGAAGTGCAACACCTGCCCCGACCCGCCCGTCTCCGCCAGCGCCCTCGCAGCTACTCTCCCGCGCATGCCTCCTGCGCAGCCTCCGCCACAGCCGCTTCCGGGAGGTTCGCCGCAGCAAGCTTCCCCCCCAGGAAGCAAGCGTTTATGACCTGTAGGTTGGGTCAGTCGAGCCGTTTCCCAGACCGTGGAGGGCGGTATGCTTCAGTGACCTCTAAGAACACGAATGTCTGCGTTGGTTTTCGGGGGTAAGGCGCTAATTGGAATGCTTTTCCTTAGCGTATTTCTCAATCCTGAAGCCTGAGCGGAAAATAAAAGGCACGCCCAGCCCACTTTCCGGAGGATAGGAGATTGCGAAGGACAACCAGGAAGCGGCTGGGCTGGGAACTGTCCCCGGTTCTCTTATCAGATTTTAAGCGTGCCTGCCGGGGGCCCTAGACAGCGGTCCCCTCCCGCGACCTAGGCTGCATCACTCCAGAGCTGTCATGTCCTCCGACTTCGAAGGCTATGAGCAGGACTTCGCGGTACTCACTGCAGAGATCACCAGCAAGATTTCGAGGGTCCCTCGACTCCCGCCTGGTGAGAACCCCAGCTCCGCCGGGCGGGGGCGTTCTGGAGAGCAAGGAGGCTGGGGGAGTGGGAAAGCTTCGGGGCGCCGGTGTCTCCCCGGCTCGAGGCTGTAGGGGGCGGTGCTGGCGGGCACGGGGGGCGGGGTTTGACTTGATTCAGGGCAAAGAGACGCGCAGCGGGGTTATGGGGTGCAATACAAAGGACCTTCGGAATTCCGAATCCATCGCCTTGTAACTTGTATAATGTTGGAAACGTTTCTCAGTCTTTAATTTTTTTCTCTAGTAAAATGCAAAGATTTCAATATTTAAAAGAATGAAATACCAAGATCGTAGATCCGTAATATACAGCAGCGTTGTGGTAGTAGGAATAGTGTATTATTATATGCTGCAAAATAGAATTAAGAGCCAGGATACCTGGATTCAAATTCCAACTCTGCCACATAGAAATTATGTCGCCTAGGCAAGGGTCTTAACCTCTCAGCTTTCCTTCTGGGTGAAATAAGAATTGTACCGCTCTCATGGAGTTGTTGTGAAAATGAAACGATATAACACGTATAAAGCCCTTTCTTGTGTTTTAGCTAATGTTATAGTATTTTCTATACGTATACCCTTATTTCTTGTTTCTCACTCTTATAGATTTATAACCCAATTTTATCTAAAACTTGTTACAGGGGAATTTTGCTCACTTTTAAATTTCACGTCTCCCATGGAGCTGTTTTTTCTTGTTTCTCACTCTTATAGATTTATAACCCAATTTTATCTAAAACTTGTTACAGGGGAATTTTGCTCACTTTTAAATTTCACGTCTCCCATCTGGAGCTGTTTTTGTTTGGTTTGGTTTGATTTTTTTTTTTTAAGCAAGTATTTCCACGCTAGATTGTAAACCATGAAGGTGGGAGCTGTGTCTGAGTTCCTTGGCATTTATTTACTAAAGGCTCAGAAAAATGTTTAAATGAATGAGCAGATGTCTAAAATATTTGTGACTCACGTGGACAGGTATTATTTTATGGTGTATCTTTCTCTAAGTACAGGCTTAATCTGAGTAGTTAGTTATACGTAAGATTTTTATTCGTTGGGTAAATTTTGTCAATACGGTGTTTGACCCTGCTTCGGGTATAAAGTGTAGAAAGAGGATGCTATTGATCTTCAGACTTATGTGCAGCTTTCTCACCTTGTTAGTGAAGTCCTTGATGCCAGCAGTGATTTTTTTTTTCCTGAACCCAAGTTTTCATTTCTCTTTCCCTTACTTCCTCCCAACTTTGTGTTTATAAGTAATTTTCTTCCTTTATTTCTTGTTTTTCTCCTCCCCCTCCCCGCCTATTTTCTGTTAATAGGGGTATTTGCTTGAAGCCAGGATCTCTGAACTCACACCCCACTCATCTCTTGAAGCCCCAGTTAGTTCTGGAGGAGGTGGATGATGTTTTAAAGAGGTTTATGAATCCAAGTAAGGGGACAAGAGGAGAGAATCAAGGTAGTATGTACCACCGAGCTCTGCTGCCTCAGGTTTTTGCGGAGAAAGTGGCTGATGGCCTCATCTTCTTGACACAGCGCACATCGCCTCGCCTCTTCTCTTCAGCTCTGCTTTACTCCGCTGCCCAAGATCATCTTGATGTTGTTGTCATTGCTGTCAAAGACTACTTCCTTTGAATTGAATCCCAGAACCTCAGAATATCAGGATTTGTGGTTTTAGTTGGATTTTTGGTCAATTTTAATTGTAATGATTTTAGTGGTAGAAACATATCTTTGTGTGGCATAATAGCTTTTGTATTGAGAAACTTTTGTCAAATAACAGTCACCCTTGGGTGCAAAGTTGTAAAAACTGTTTCACAGAAAACAAATTTTGTTACAGTTGAGTTTTTCTTGCCTTTAAATTGAGATGTAACACTTCTTACTACACAAAAGGAAACATTGGTATTGAATTGTTTTGACCCACCTGTCATCCCAACAGGGTGTGAAACTGAGGCAGGAGGACGAGAAGATTAAGGTTAAGTAAGATTTTGTCTTAAAATATTTTAGAAAGGGCTGGGGATGTAGCTTAGTGCCAGGGCCCTCAGGACTGTGTTCAGTCTTTAGTACTGTAAAAATAAGTAGATTAATTAATTTTTTAAAAAGCCATGCTTTTCTTTAGTTGTAATATAGTGCAAAGCCCAAATTTGACAGCAACATTACTACTGAAAGAAGACTTCATTGCTTAAAACTGGAAAAGTGATTATTTGAATAATTAAATAACTATAAAATGCAGTGGTTTTACTCTTCCTAATGAGGAAAATCCATCTGTTTCTAATTGATACATAGAAAAAGATTTTTTTAAATGCTTGTAGTTATGAATTTCAGATATATATGTATCTGTGGACTAATTGAAATTAATATGTGTAACCATGGGCAAAACAATATAATTAGAAGTATTTATAGTATCTCTCTCGGCATCATTAGAGGTTGTGGTGCTTAGCTAAAATTGACCCAGAGGAGACCAACTATAATTTACTTGAGTTAAGAACCTTAACAATTGGAGCGTGCAGGGGATGGTGGCACATGCCTGTAATTCCAGCACTCAGGAGGCTGAGGCAGGAGGACTGATGAGAGTTCGAGGCCAGACTGTGCTACAAAGCAAGAACTGGTCTCAAAAAAACATAAATAAATTTTTTAAAAAATTCTTAAAAAATTGGAGTAGTACCAAAAAAAAAAAAAAAAAAATTGGAGCAAACTTTCAAGCCAAAGCAGTTCATCCTGGAGCATATTAATTCATCTAATTTGAAGTTGAGTGGGAACAATCTATCGAAATGAACTTTACCATCTACTGTGCATATACAATGTGTTGATGTTACTTCCACAGAAAATAGAAAAGATTTAATATGTTAAAACTTTATTCAAAAAATTTAAACTGTTTTGTTAACAATAAAAAATCTGCTCAGACTAAAGTGTTTGAATCTTATCTAATTTTAGTACAGTAATTGGATGTTGGGATGGGTAAGTCCCTTATGAATTACATATTTGTAAGTTGGTCTTTAATGATTACTGTTCTGTTCTGGGGTGGAGAGAGTTCAGGAAAATTGATGAGCAGAAACCACAGACCAGGACCGGGGATTAGCTCAGTGATCCCTGATACCAAGAAAAAAAAGAAGAAGAAGAAGAAGAAGAAGAGGAAGAGGAAGAGGAAGAGGAAGAAGAAAACCACAGACCAGTGCTTTATAGTGGCGTTCCTTTTGGGCATATACTGCTAGGATTGAACCTGTAGGCTTTTGGTTGTTAAGCCCTTGTTCTACCACTGAGCTACATTCCCAGCCCTTTTTATTTTGTGAGGGCTTCTTGCTAGTTGTCCGGGCTGCCCTTGAAATAGGAATACCCCTGCCTCAGCCTCTCCTGTAGCTGGGATTACAGGCGTGTACCACTGCCCCCAGCTGAGTTTCCTTTTCTTTGGAGATGGGCGAGAATCCCTAAGTGGGGAATATGGTGCTCGTGTCTGTTTCATCAAGTAGACTTTTTGAAGGATCTTCAAGGGTTTTTTGCCAGCTACTTTCTTAACCTCACCATTTGGAGACATAAGTGGTCTAATGTGAATCCTAAGTTTGTGATTGTGGACAGAAATGTGTCAGTGGTTATAAGTTGATACAGTGGTGATGGTTATAAGTCAATACAGCTGAGATCTGCATGGTTACCTGGGTACACACTATAGATAACAAGAAGCAGATGAATCTTCCATTAACCTAATTAACCCAAGTTTTTTGTATTTCAGGCTGGTCGTAACTTGAGGGTCCACTGTATTATGAAGCAGGTGTGGTGGCACACTCCTATAATTCTGGGAGGATGAGGCAGGAAGATCTCAAGTTTGAGCCCAGGTTGGGCAGTTTAGCAACTTAGGGGGACCCTTTCTCAAAACACTTTTTAAAATGCCAGGGATATAGCTCTGTGCAAAGGCCCTAGATTTGATCCCCAGTAACACCTATGTGCACATACACACCCGTTTAAAATCCCAGTTCTGCTACTTAGTAGATGTGCAATCATGGACAAATTGTAAACCTGCCTCTTCCATATGTAGAATATGAGCAAAGGGGCAATAGTTTTAACCCTATCATATTTTAATAAAAAATTGAAACAAAGCATGTAACAGCATAGTTCTTGCACAGAGAAACTGTGTGCTAAATTTGTCTTATTGATATCACTGCTGCTGCTGCTGAAAACAACAGGTAAGGTTGGCCAGGACCCAGCCATTCAAACTTAAGTTAGTTGGACTGTAGCGGAGCCAGGTCCTGAGTTTCTGATCGTTCACCAACTGTAGCTGAGCCAGGTACTGAGCCCCATGGGGGGACAGCACCTGCAGCCAATCCACTGATGGCTGGCGTTGTTCTGGGAGACCCATTACTTTGTTCTCCCTGATCAGGTTGTGGGGGGCAAACCTGGTTGAGTGTCACAGATAGATGCGGGCAACCAGGGGGCTCTTTGCTTCTTAGGCAGACGGATTCCCCACTTGGGCTCATCTCACTTATTCACTCAAACGGGCCGCAAGCATAAAGTAACACAGATTCATCTGCTTTCGGAATTGCCTTAGTACGACTCTGGTAAACAACTTAACCTCAGCTGTCTAATTGTCCCTGGGACCTGCAATATGCCATCACCCCCTAATGCAGCCTTCTCCTTTGTGCTGGCAGAGGAGACCAATTAGGCCTCCGTTCTCTGCTCTCTGACCCGACTGCAGTTCCTGCTTTCTTTTTGTACCTGTCCTAGGGTGAGGTTAATTTCTCTTGATGAAGAACTACATTTGAAGGGAAGTGACTGGTCAGGGGCTTTTGGATACGAAATCAGAATTTGGCTTTAAACTCAGGACATCAGGAAGGAAATCAGAGAGAAAAGAAAAAGTGATGGAGCAAGACAAGTGTCTTCTAGAAGGAAATGTTCGAGTCTAACATTAGCTATGGTGAGCCCTGGAAGATTTAGGAGACCATCTCAATAACTCCCTATTAATGAACATTGCTATGGGATTATCTCTTTTTCACTGTGCAAGTAGGGAGAGAA